TACCTTCACGAAGGTAAACTTGTTGAAGTGTTTTTTCACTTCGGGATGATGCAAACCGAGGCTTCCGAGGAGGGCGAGGACAAACTTATCAATTCAGTTTTGAAAATTTCAAAGACCCGTCTTCTCAAAGACATTGGCCAATTGACAGAGGCGTACCTTGCTATGCAAGCCCTCAATCCGGCAGCAGTAATGAACTATCTGAGTTTCGTGACTGGAACTCTCTTCGAGCTCGTTAGCCATCCTGATCCTGACGTTCGGATGGCTGCCGATGAAGGCATCAACCAAATCGTGAAGGCAATCTACTCCCTCTTGATGCCTTTTCCTGACCCTTTTGATTGAGTTTTTTGTTTGTGCCATTTGCTATTTCGCTTTTTTGGTTTGTCTCAAGGATAATGAGCTCACTTCTAGTGTTGCATGTAGGAATATGCAGTTCCACGGAATTCGATGTCGCAACTATGCGATTAGAATGCGCCAGTCCAGTGCTAAATCGTGGTTGGTGGTGCTTTAGTGTGATGATTGGAGTTAAGCTTGGAATTATGCTATTTTAAACATTGTGATCGTTCATATGATTTCCTTTCCGCTCTTGTTTCTTTCCCATCTACAGTCTTTGAATGTTTTCATATGACTGCGTGATTGTAGGACGAAGTTCTCACTGAATCATTGATCTCCCTTTGCGTGCCAGGTGTTTTGTAAGAGCAATAGTAAGGCCTTTTTCCACCCACTGTCCAGCTAGCTTTGTTTGTTTCACTACAAGCTTTCGTCTCATCTGAGTTGTATTATGTGAGTAGATCTTGAGCATAACTGCTTGGTTTTCAGTCGTTCTGGAGTCCGACATATGTGTCCATACAGAGTAAAAGGCATCCGGGACGAAATCTTACGTCCCTTTTGCAGTGGCGAATAGGCACTATGGGTTAAGTTCTTTCGCAACTTTTACTCTCAAATTTCACGCAGTCTTTCAAGGCTTTTTTACTTGTGTCAAGCTGATTTTGGGCACAACAATTCCCGTTAAACCGCGGCATAGGGAAACGTACGGAGTCAACCTTTTCTACCCTAACAATATGCACAGTCTTGAAGAGCTGAAGTAATTTTATCCTATAATGTTGAGATGAATTGTGAATTGCTTGAAAAGCCATCTGCATAGAAGATCCTTCTGTCATCCCATTGTCGACGAATTGACCACATAAATTTGGCGAACAGTGAGTTTGTGTAAGCAGGTCTCTTTTTCTCAATCGCTTTCAGGT